GCTGATGTTGGGAAAGTGTGAAGGCAGGAGGAGAAGGGGACGACAGAGGACGAGGTGGATGGACAGTGTCTTCGAAGCCACCAACATGAATCTGACGCAACTCTGGGAGGCAGCGGAAGACAGGAGGGCCTGGCGTGCTCTCGTCCATGTGGTCACAAGAGTCGGACATGACTTAACGACTAAACAACAACAACAACAACAATGGACATATAAGCTCCAATGACATGTAAAAAATGGACTTTGATTTGTATTATTTGTAAATTTGGTGATTTACTTTGTAAGAGCCTCGTAGCGCAGTGGTTAAACAAATATATTGCAGACAAAACTGTGCTCAATCCCAGGTAGCCGGCTCAAGATTGACTCTGCCTTCCATCCTTCCGAGGTCAGTAAAAGAAGTACAGTACACAGCTCGCTGGGGGAGCAGTGTGGTAGACTGCATAATTAACTTGTAAACTGCCCAGAGTGTCTTTGAAGTGCTATGGGGCGGTATATAAACAGCACACTTTGCTCTTCCTTTTTGCTTTAATTCCTAAGGGAGCCCCAAACCTGAGGTACATTGGGGGTCCCAGAGTCTAAATACAGCCCTTGATGGGAGTCTTAGTATGTGTCTCTGTGTGTGTTTGTGTGAGAAACATATAATAATCTCACATTCCTCAGACAATGCAACTTTCCTTGGAAACAAGATGAGCAGCTTCAGACAGCCTTTTTTTAAGGACACAGAAAGAAATCCATTAACCGATGTGGAGGGTACAGTGGGCAGTCCAAGGTGAAAAAGAGCACGTCCCTCCGTGATTGGGAGGAAGCACGTTCTGCAGTTCTCCTTTGCCTCTAAATTAAAAATGGACTTCTTTTTTTACCTTTCAGGATCTCATCTCCAGCCGCCTGGAGCTTCTGGAGGAGGAGAGAGCCAAAATTTTAACATATAAAGCAAAAACAGAAGAAGAAAGCCAAGAGTTACTTGTGAGTATCGGTGTCCCTAAAAAGGGATCAGTTTTTTTAGCCAGCATGTGGAAAATGCAAGTACAGTACATAGATATAGGCCAATTGGATATATATATATATATATTGGATATAGGGCTATTGGATATATATATATATCCCAGCAGTACTATATAGCAGTATATAGTACTGCTGGGATATATATATAGTTGTACGCATCCCAGCAGTGCTCTGTGTGTGTGTGTGTGTGTGTGTGTGTGTGTGTGTGTGTGTGAGTGTGTGTGTGTGTGTGTGTGTGAGTGTGTGTGTGTGTGTCTCTAGGCCAATCGGCCTATATCCATGTATCCATCTATGTATCTATCCATCCCCATCTTTATATCTCCATCTATCGATCTATAGCTCAATGTCTGCGTGTGCACATGTGTAGTCAGCCTATAAATAACAGCATGTGGCCCCAGGGATCAATCATAGCCCTTTGTGCTCCTGGACTTCCAGCCCCCCTTTCATCCCACTCTGCCTAGGCCAATCGGCCTATATCCATGTATCCATCTATGTATCTATCCATCCCCATCTTTATATCTCCATCTATCGATCTATAGCTCAATGTCTGCGTGTGCACATGTGTAGTCAGCCTATAAATAACAGCATGTGGCCCCAGGGATCAATCATAGCCCTTTGTGCTCCTGGACTTCCAGCCCCCCTTTCATCCCACTCTGCAAAAGTTACATTTTAATATATGAAAAGTTCCATTCGATTGATTCTTTTGTCTCAGCATTGGGGTGTGTGTGCTCTGATTCTACCATGTTTTGAGGGCTTCGATCTTGCATCCTCAACCGTCTACAAAAATGTTTTCCCACTAGGATACAAGTGAGTGGTAAGAGCTGAAAAGATTTAAGAAATTTATTTCATGTTTGGGTGCAGGAATAGATGCAGCCCTCCAACATCCAGAGGCAGGAATGTATAGTTTGGAATTTGCCCATCCCCTCATCTAAAAGGATCCACTTTTCAACTGTCGTTCCATTAACTCTTCTCTAATGATCTATCCCCCTTCTTCGATGCACATCATAACATGGCGAGGCTCTGAGAGAAGTCGAAAGCAATGCCCTCCAGGTGGATCCCATGACAAGTGTAGACTCTTAGCAGGTGGAACACTTAAGCTATGGCACCAGACTAAGAAACTGTATAGCTATATCCATGTGTGTGCATATATATAGCAGTACTTTGATCCAGTATCTCAGCAGCACAAGTCCCAACCCTGATTTCACCTTTGGAGCCTTGACTTTTTGAGACCACCCTTCACAGGCCCTGCCATCAGCCTCATTCCCTCCCCCTCCTTTCTGACTCTCCTCCTGCAGAAAGAGACAAAGGCAGAGATGGAAAAGACAAAGGAACAATTCAGAGAACTTCACTCCTTTTTGAATGAACAAGAGGAGCTTCTTCTGGCCCGACTGGAAGAGGTGGAGAAGGAGATTGCAAGGAAAAGGGAGGAGCACCTGGCCAGGCTCTCAGGGGAGCTCTCCTCTCTTGGAGGTCTCATCCGGGAGATGGAGCAGAAGCGTCAGCAGCCCCCAGGTGAACTCCTGCAGGTAAGATTGGCAGAAGGATCCCAGGCTGCTCTCCAGGGGAAAAGTTGGCTTTGAAATACTTTTGTGGCCCCATCTACATGTAGAGAGAATCAACTTTTGTACATACAGAAGAATCGAGATAGTCAGGTCAATGTGTTTATCTCAGTGTGGACTAAATATTGATGGGAACACCTGCAGTTTTCACTTCTCTGCCAATGCTTTGATTCCCAGCCATGCATCAATCCTGCCTCTTCTTCCAAGCCTTCCAAAAAGAGCTGGTTCGCCTCTTTTGGAAACTGGTCACCAGAGCTGCTCTCATCCATTACTTCAGAACTGGAATCCTTCTCATGGATGACGAGCACACAGAGACACCCCATTTTAAATGGTTTTGCTACCTTCCAAGAATCCTTTGCCCTAAAAGAGAGGAGATAAAATATCTGCCACCTTAACCCTGGTCCTTCAGAAACCCCTTACTCCCTTGTGGCAGTTCAGAGGCAGACAAAAGTTTTTTAACGCCTTCTTGTAGGAGATGATGGATCTCTCCTCCGGAATGGTGTGGGCTTAGAGTGGAAAATAAGAAGGGCCTGTGGGTGTCTCCCCACAGGCTGACGAGGTAGAATCACTGAGTTCCCTTTTCTTTCTCTTTTTCCCCCCTCCAGGATGTCAGAAACCTCTTGCAAAGGTGACTGGAGCTGCTCTTTTTTCATCAGGCCTTGATAATCCTGGGAAGGGCCTTTGTGGAAGGAAAATGGTCCCAAACTCTCCTGGAGAGATGATGTTGACTCTCGACCGTTGGGGGAGGTAACAACAAAGGGTTTGCTCAGGAGCACCTCCTTCGTCCACCCAGGGCCACTGCCAGAGCACAATCCTTTCGTTCCCCCCCCCCTCCATGGGTCCTTCCTGCCTTCTTCGTTTTTCCAACTCATTCTGCTATAACTGTTTTTAAAAATTACACTAAATTAGGGAATTTGTGAATATCTCAGTACACGTTTGTTTTTGAGCGTCTGTTATTGGTAGGATCCTCTGAGGGTCACTAATTCTAAGGGTTGCCGTAAGTTGGAAGCAGCTGAATAGAACACAGGAAAAACAGTAACATATTTCTTAAGCTCTTTCTGCATGGTACAGGACAAAGAAAATAATACAATACAGCAAGAATATTACAAACAAAAGCTTCGTGGAAACACAGAAAGTTTGGAGTGGGATAATGAAGCCCTAAACTTTTCTAGGCAGTGTGAAGACATTTGGGAGCAGGAGTTGTAGGTTGCATCTCCTCTCTGTCTATAGTTAAAAAAGATTCTCTTCTTGATTCAGCAATAGCTATTCACAGTAATTAAAGACACCTTTCTCCTTTCCTGCAGCTCCCAAAGCGGGTTGGAAAAACTGCGGGATGGAAAGAGGAAGTTTTAATTGCTGAAAGACATCCTCTCTTGATATCATTCGCCTTCCACAGCGATAGCTATGGAAACTCAGTTTCCTGGGATTCCTGTTATTCCTGCCTTCGGTTGTGAGGCAGAATGAGGACTCTTGATCGCTAAGGGTTTGATCCGGGGAGACAAATGCTTGAACCAACTGCTACCCCCTGTACCTCTTCAAAAGCCATTTTCAGCCATTTAAAAAATGGAAAGAGAAAGTGCCGAGATGCTGCTGGTTTGCAGTGGCTTCATTTCTTGGGGGAAAGGAGAGGGATGGAAGGTCTTAGGTCCCCCGCAAATCCCTCTGCAAAATGCCTCTGGGGTCCACATGCAGCCCATGGACCACATTTTCTCTGTTTTAGGTTTTCTGCAGCTTTCCACTCAGTCCCCTTTGTTTTCCTGGAGATTCTGGCTAGGGTTAAGTAGGTTTGAAGTAATTTTTCCCCCTCTTCCAACAGTCCTAGGAACAAGGAGCCCTTTGAGAATCCTGTGGCTTTCCTTCGTGAGCTTAGGTGGGAGATCTGGGATGTCCGTGGTAGGAATCTCTTTCTAGCTAAGCAGACGAAGCAGTTCAGAGGTAAGTCAGAGCGCCTGCAAAGACAGACCCTGGTCCTAGAGGGAACAAGATAGGAGTGTGGTTTTTGTTTTGTTGCATTACGGATAGCAGTCACAACAGAGAAAGCTCTTCCCGGATAGCCCAGCTCCTCTTTCCTTTCCTCCTGAAAAGACCAGACCCAGACTTATTCTGGGAGACTGTGGGGTAGAGTGGGAGGGGTGTGTTGTTCTCCATGAAAAAGGCAGCTGACACAGTGTGGTCATGGGAGGAGGGGGGGGACACTCCTTCTAAATGTTCCTGGAGTCTTCTTCTGTTTTCAGCACCCTGGATATTGGTATCAGACACATGCGATGGCCAGTTCACTGCTCACCCCCCTGAATGAATTAAGAACCAATGGGTCCCCTTTTCTGGAATCAACACATGCCAAGAAATGTATTCTCATCAGCTTTTCTTTCAATTGGAAGAGAAATCGATCTCTTCCTAGTAGCATTTTTAAGATCACTTTATGAATTGTCTCGCTTATAGGAAACTAGACAATAACTATATTGTGTAAACCCACAATGTGAACACTTTGAGACTTGATTGTTACTTAGGCCATGCAAAAGTCAGCTGTGGCTATTAGTCTTCCTTCTATACAACTCCTTAAAGGGGATCCACCCCTGAATTTCTGCATATAGCAGGAGTTGTTCTGCATTCATAAAAACGACAAGATTTGGATTACCCAGATTCCTGTGGGCCCATCATCCTGCTGGCTCTTAACTAATAAATTCATTGGAGACGAACACTTTGGCTTTTTAAGGGTGAACCTGATCGGGAGGATTTCCTCAGAACATTATTTCTTTCGTAACAAATCAAACCCCAATGCCATAGGGCTTTGACACAGCTATAGAGCCTCTGACAAAATTCAGTGTTGTTTTATTTTCAAGGTGTGTGAAACAATGGCAATAGGAGAAACTTCTCAAACTACTAAATTTGCTAGATATGGGTCATCAAATGGTCCTCAGAACTCATGAGATGGACTCAGCTGTTCTTTTAATCGGCAGAAGGACGGAGCAAAGATGTCCTCTTTCCTCAACTTTATCTGCAGACGTGGGTCCTAAAATGGTCCTCAGAACTAATAAGATGGACTCAGCTGTTCTTTTAATCAGCAGGAGGACGGAGCATAGATGTCCTCTTTCCTCAACTTTATCTGCAGATGGTATGAAGCCTCTGGCCTCGTCCAGAAGAGCAGACACCCAATTAAAATTTCTAAATATTAATGGAAATAGATACAGCCCAGATATGTTTGTGGGAGGGTATGTTTGTGTATAAGAGGCTCTGCTGCTTGATTTGTGCATCTTTTTTGCTTTCACAGATACTGTGTTATCTGGATCCCGACTACAGAAAGGTACGTTTCTCATGCCTCCCTACATCTATGGAAGGGAAGGGAGTTCCTCTTGGTTTGAGGCTCTTTAGACACGCCAAGAGCTAAAGCGATTGCTGGTCCCATCAAGAGCCTTTTAAATCAGTTGTTTGCGCTTTCTGCCACAACCTGCGTATGTGTGTTTTCCCTGAAGCACCAAGGAATGAAGTCACTCGGAGTGTGCTGTGGGAGAGCGGGCCATGGGAGGCCTTTCCCTATCACCAGAGCGCTGACCTTCCTGGAAGTAACCCGTCCAGGCAGAGAAAGGGCTGTGTGATTGAGTGACGAGAGGACATCTCGAGGAAACCTTCACGCTTCCCACCTGGATATGTGGCTTCCTCTGGAGAGTGTTTGGAAATTTCAGTGGGTCCAAAACACGCATGCGCACGAGTGTGCCCTTCTGTGAGTGAGCACCGCCTCTTTGCGCATGCATGTGAACATGCCCCTTCCCTCCATGAACATGCGCACGAGTTTGTCCCGCCCCCCCAAACTCCAACCGGTCCACGACTCACAGGCAGGGCCACCCTCTCACCTCCGTAAACAATGGCTGACCCATAACAGGCCACACACAGAGAGAAAGGATGGGGAAATTGGGAGCCGACCCCGCACCCCAAACCCAGGTGCCCTCTCTATCCAGGCATCGACCCAGGCAGGATCTAAAGGCAGCTCAGGCGTAAATCAGTCTTTTAACTTCAATGGGGCCTCAAGTTCTCTTTTACCCTATTTATTATACATAATGGTTTTCTTGTACATGTTCAATGAGATTTAAATGGCTGCTTGTACAAACCTAGTGTGGTGTGTTAATGACACAAGTCACACCACAGGGTTTCTCCCCACCTCATTCTCCTCACTTTCTCTTCTGCTCTGTGTCCCCAAACAGCAAATGTCACCCTGGACCCAAAGACAGCACATCCCAACCTCATCCTATCCAAGGATCACAAAAGTGTGAGATATAAAGGCAGATGGCAAGATTTACCTGACAATCCTGAGAGATTTAACAGTAAACTTTTTGTGTTGGGACATGAGGGATTCACCGCAGGCAGACATTTCTGGGAAGTCACTGTAGGGAGTGAGGGAAATTGGGCTGTGGGGGTGGCCAGGAAGTCCGTACGTAGAAAAGACCCTGTTGAATGGAGAACTGAAGAAGGGATCTGGGCTTTGGGGAGGCTGGTAGGTGGCTACAGGGCCTCCAACCTTTCTGATGAAATTGATCTTCCTTTGAGTGAGAAGTTGAGGAGGATCCAGGTGTCCCTGAACTATGAAGAGGAGCAGGTGTCCTTTCATGATGCTGATACAGGATCCCGTCTCTACACCTTCTCTGGAGCCTCTTTCTCTGGGGAGCCCCTCCTCCCCTTCGTTTTTGTGGATAGAAAAGCCTCCCTCACAATCTCCCCTTAAGGCATTCAAGCTGATCTTGGAGGGAAATTGAACCTGGCTACCCTCCTCCCCAGGAAAGAAACTGAATCAATATTTTTTGCAGGGGGGGGCTTTTTCTTCCTCCCTTTCCAGGAGTCCTTTCCTTCCTCTGCCAGTCAGTTCTTAAAGAGACAGTAGCCCTTTTTCCTGCATGTCAGAAATCTCCCCTTTGTGTTTTCAGAAGATACCACACCCACAACTCTTTTTTTGTTTGTTTGTTTCAGTTTTTCTTTTGTTTTGCCACAACTTCCCAGGCCCTATTGAGATACACTCTCCTGGACCCTTGGAGGGAGAAAGGATATGTTCTTTTTCTCAAGAGCCCCAAGGAGGAGGAAATTCTTGTAACTGGTTGTAGGATGTCCCATTCCAGCCCAGATCTCGTGAGTTTAAGAGTAGTCATTCATGTGGTATTTCCATCACACAAATATGTTGCGTGTTTTATCATGAGTGTGGGGTGATGTGGGTGTGAATGGGCTTCCATGGACTAGGAAAAACAATGCTATTCCAGTGGATGGGGAAGCATCAGCATCACTTCGGATATTTGCTCAAGTTGTGTGAGGGAAAGTTATAATCATGTCTTCTACTATCGCTAAAATCTGGTTGTGTACTCGTCTCTTTTGCTCCTAGAAAGTATAAAGGTTTGATTTGGTCTAGTTCTTGCGAGATGGTGAATCCCT